AAGGAGGGGCCTGTTCTCCTCGCATCTTCCCTCTTCTCTTCCGGGCAAGAAGGGGAGAACTCCTGCTCAGCAAGGAGATGGTGGGAGCTTGGTACAGGCCCATCATGCCTGATCCCTCAATAACAGGGCAGAGGCTCAGTTTGCCTTCCCCAAAGGCTGGGTACACTGCTGGGGCAACAAACCTGTCTGTCTGGGACTCTCCGGCTGCCCACTTGGGTCTGAGCTCTCACCTGGCCCCGTTACACGCCAGCCACCTTCCAGCTCTGCAGGCCGAGGCCCCTCCAAATGAGCTCCTCCACCGAGTCTCAGAAGCTGCGGGCGTGTGCCTTCCAGGGTGTGCTGAGACTCGCTGCCTCTGGGACCAGCTCATTTGTGCTTTTCTCTCCAAGCGGCCCCATCCTCTGCACAGGTTGGGGCGTCACACGGCAGGACTCTCAATGCTCTTCAGGCAGGGAAAGCCTGTCCTGTCCGGAGCAGCTGGGACAGTGCGTCCACCGTGTGGTCTGGGACTGAGGGGTGTCAGTCTGTGGCCTGCCTGGCCCAAGCCAGTGGTGCTAAGGTCTCTCCCCTCCTCTCGGAGCAGAATGGATGCGTGGGGCAGGGAGCTGCCACGCCTCACTCCAGAGACAGCTGGGTCTTTGGGGAATAAGCCAGGCAGCCTGACCCTTGCCCCCACTGCTCTCCAAGACAGCAGAGTGGCATGCATGTTGCTCTGGGCAGTCACGTGCTGCTGCAGGCCCTACCAGGGAGCCAGACTCCCACCCGGGCAGCTGTTCTTGGTTCCAAGGGAGCTACCAAGCTCTCCAACAGGGCTGATGCTTGGTGTGAGCCCCCTGCACTGTCTTCTGTGGGTGCAGCAGGGCATGCAAAGCCCCTGGGTTTGCTGTGGCCCTCACACAGGTGCTCCCATGGGGGGCTGGGGGACGAGGTTCCTGCTGGCTAGCTGACTCTTCTGTGTTTGCTGCAGGTTTTGTGTTGTTCCTCTTCTTGGGGATCCTGACCATGCTCAGGCCCAACATGTACTTCATGGCCCCGCTTCAGGAGAAGGTGGTGTTTGGGATGTTCTTCCTTGGAGCAGTGCTGTGCCTCAGTTTCTCCTGGCTTTTCCACACTGTCTACTGTCACTCGGAGAAGGTCTCACGGACGTTTTCCAAGTGAGTCGCTGGTAGCAAACAGGTAACTCCTGGCCCTGTCCATGCAGCCCACTGCCCCTGAGGAAACCAAGCCCAGCCGCAACCTCCCAGGCACTAAGCCACAGTGTGTGCAAGGCTTTGCCTGCCAGGTGCCGCGAGCAGCATGAAGATCCTGTGTGCTTCAGAGCAGGCTCAGACAGAACGGCCTTGTTGTTCCCTGGCGTGTTACTCAGCTGCTGCTCTTCACCCCAGCCCTGGCTGCATTTCGGTGGGGAAGTGATTCCCGTCTCAGCATTCCTGTGCAGACCAGCACTCTGAGCTGCCACTTCCCACGGTGCCTGGGCCAGTGCGTGCCCTGGCTGGGCTGTTAGTGACCTGTCCAGAAAGCTGAAGACACACCTGATTCTGCTCATGCCCTGGCCCCTCCTATGCCTCTGCTTACAAGCTCAGATGCACCCACAGTGCATTGCAGTGGGGCTTCCCAGTCGCGCTCTCCCCCGCTAGGGTTCCAGACGTAGGCGGCCAGTGCGAGGGGAGTGCGTGTCCAGTGACCCCCGCTCTCTGTGGCTCTGTTCCAGGTTGGATTACTCAGGAATCGCACTGCTGATTATGGGGAGCTTCGTCCCCTGGCTCTATTACTCCTTCTACTGTTCTCCGCAGCCTCGGCTCATCTACCTCTCCATCGTCTGTGTCCTGGGCATCTCCGCTATCATTGTTGCTCAGTGGGACCGGTTTGCGACCCCCAAGCACAGACAGACCAGGGCAGGTAGGCATGAGCATGGAACAGCCTGCAGGGGGGCTTAGGGGCTCATTTCCCATACAGCTGTGAGCCATGAGAGCTGGGGTGGCTCTCCCCCTTGCCTGCCATGGGTCTGTCGGGACCAAGGCCATAGGCCCCGTCAGCATGGCCCCAAGGCCGGAGACGAGAAGCCCGCGCTATAGAAAATACAAACCTGACATTGCTGGGCTGTTCTCAAGATGAGCAGAAAAGCCCCTTTTGTTTCCCAGACTGGGCCCCCAGGGGCTACAGCTCAAAAGCAGCTGCCAGGAGGCTGCTGAAACTGAGCCCCCCACAGCATGTCTCCATGGCGCTTGGGGCCCCACAGGAGGCCAGGGCAGAGCTCCAGCCAGCCAGTCTGAACGAACGCTGCTGGCTGCAGAATCAGTGCGGAGGGGGCTCTGGTGACTGCTAATAGGAGAGATGGTCTCGGGCTCCCCTGCAAGGCAGGCGTGGGGGTTGGCACTCCAGTTTCCATCTGGCGACACGCATCAGTCTGCTGCTACTCTCCCCCACCCTGGGTCCACGCAGGCCTCTCAAAGGCCAAGCAAGAGGGCCCAGGCTCTGGAGTCAGCCTGCTTGCATCGGTACTGTTGCTCTGACTCTCCTCCCTCCACAGGCAGCCTCTGGGCAGTGCATCCAGCCAGGCTGTTGTGAACAAAGGCTGAGGGCTCTCGTTCTCTCCCCCAGGGGTTTTTTTGGGGCTGGGGCTGAGTGGCGTCGTGCCCACCATGCACTTTACCATCGCTGAGGGGTTTGTGAAAGCCACCACCGTGGGCCAGATGGGCTGGTTCTTCCTCATGGCTGTGATGTACATAACAGGCGCAGGGCTGTATGCCGCCCGCATCCCAGAGCGCTTCTTTCCTGGCAAGTTTGACATCTGGGTGAGTAAAGCCTGGGCCGGGCGGGCAGAGCTGCCTTCTCCGTGAGGGGCCCAGAAGACGGGCAGAGGCAGGAAACGCCAGCAGTGCAGAGGGTGGTAGAAGGGTTTGTCTAAGTCTAGGGTCCAGCTGGGACCAGTAAGCAAGAGCCCACGTGCGGGTCCCAGAAAGGAGAAGAGATGGTGGCTGGGGCGTTAGGAGAACACCAGCCCCTCCAGGCTGTCTGTGGAAAGACTGTGGACAGGCTGTCGTCTGGGACAGCTCTGGGGAGTGGGGCTCTCTGGGTTATGAAGAGAGCAAGGGGGGGCTGTGGTTCCAGGAGTCATCGTACAGTGCAGCCTCACAGCTTTGATCAGCCAGAAGCAGTGCATGTTGGGAGTTGTAATCTCCATGAGTAAAGCTCCCCAGTCCCTGGCCTTCCATTGGCCTCTTCAAAATGGGCTCCTTTTCGATCAAGGTATGAGACTGAGGGTTCCTTCCTGCAGCTCTTGATTTGCTCCTGGGGGCAATTCCAGAGGGACTTGACCCTGCCATCTGGTGCAGCTCCTGTCCCCTCCAGTGAGCTTGGCTTCTGATTCCACAGCCATGTGCAGAGGCGGCACCTCTGTCCCCAGGCAGTTTTAGCTCCGGTAGGGGGAGGTAAATGGCCCATTTCAAAGAGACTCTCCCTTTATCCCCAGTCACTGAGATGCAAATTGCCAATAGGCCAAGACGAGAGGCACTGGAAGTACCCTCCAGCAGTCAGCCTGGTTTGCGATGCTTGGACGGGATCCCCGATGCAGCCTGGGCTGTCTCAGTGCTTTGCTAGTGACAAGCAGGAAATCCCCCCAGGCACTTACTACAGACATGTGGAGCCCTACCCCCAGCTACTGCAAACACCAAGAAAGGCACCAGCCCCCTCTCCCCGCTCAGTACATCAGGACTATGCTGACTTGCACTGCTCAAGAGGTTTTTTTGGGGCGATGCAACTTTATTAATTGGTTATCACTTTACCAATGGAAAGTGGATGTACCACCCTTTTTAATCTGAGCTGGTGTCCGGGCACTTCCCAAACCCACAACAGAATTCACACCTTTCATCTGCACTGCTGCTATGCAAACTTAGGCAGAACAGTGGCTTTCAGACAGCCATGCCCTTTCCCCTGCTACCTCACCTGGCAGTATCACCGTTCTCTATACATGAGGACTATGGGGCTTACAGGGCACTCCCCCAAGGTGTAAAGTGTCTCAATACATGCAGCCCTGACAGTTCAATCAGGACAGGACTCACCTTTTGTGCTTGCTGGATTCTTGCTGGTCTGTCTTCTAAGGGCTTTATCTCGCCTTCCCCACAGTTCCAGTCGCATCAGATCTTCCACGTCCTGGTGGTGGCTGCAGCCTTTGTCCACTTCTACGGTGTCTCAAACTTGCAAGAATTTCGCTATGGACTCGAAGGGGGATGCACGGACGACTCTCTGCTCTGAGAACCTCTAATGACTCTAGTGCCGGCTTCCTAAGTGCTTTTTAAACTACTACTTTGCTCAAATGAAAGGAAGACTTAACTCTTGGGGGGTTGGTTTTGTTTTTTATGGGGACATTCTCCAGCAAAGTCCATAATGACCAAATCCTTGCCCTGCCTCAGAGCGATTTGCTGGGCATTGCCAATAGTAGCCAAGGGGAAGAAGCACTTTCAACTTAGCCCTTCATAGGAAATAAAAACCCTCCTCTTCCACAGTGTTCCAATCACAGCAGGATTTTCTGTCTGAAGCAGAAATTCTGTTTGAAAGCCAAGGGTGCAGATTGCCTGCTCTCCAGCACGGCAGGCTGGCCCCTGTTTTTAGCTTCAGTTCTGGAGAGACAGGAAACTCTTATTAGTTCATGGTCTGGGTCCCGTCTCTGTAGGAGCAACCTGCCACTTTCCTGAGGACTGGCCCTGTGCAGGGGCTCTTCACAGGTTCATGTAACTTACCTTTTAACTGTCTTTTTCTTGACCCAGTAATGTAAATGGAATGAGACTATTTAATATTTAATACTAAGCTTTAAAGAGAGACTTGGTGCCACTCCAGGGTGTCTGCCCGCAAGCTGTTTGTGGTAACCTGGGAGGGACAGGACAGGGCTTTAGAGGAATGTAGAGCTGCTGTAGCTGACTGAAATAAAACGGTCAATAGTTAAGTTGTGCTGGGAGCTTCCGTGTCCTGGTTTGTCGGCCCTAGTGCTGCTGGTGGTGAGAATGGAAAGATGGCTCCTGGCTAGGCTGGTGTGGGGCCAGCTCTAAGCCAGTGAGGGTCCAGACCAGGCCACGAGCACAGTGCTGAGAGCAGTGATTGCAAGTCTGGCAAAATGTTGAGAAGGGGGGACTTCTGCTAACCTGCTCGAACAGCACAGCAGGTCCAAATTACTCCATATGGTCGATGATGGCACCAGCAGGAGAGACGGACTTAGTAACATACAGGAGCTGGGCCAAGAATAAACAGTAATAGCAGCAGTAGGCCTCTTATCCAGGTCAGCACTGGTCCCAGAATGCAGTGCAGGGCTGCTAACACATAGGAAAGGGAATTCCAGCACCAGGAGACTGCTCATCCCAAAGGCTCAGAAATAGTGAAATTTATCTGGTGCAGATGCTACATGAGGGAACAATCCAGCAGGCCACGCAAGCATGTGTGCTGTTGGACAGAGGGAAGCTGAAGAGCAAGAGGCTGCACGTTATCTGAGCCAACAGATCCTTGGCAATGTGGAAAGCTGGTCCCTGTGTGAAGCCATAAACTGCACCTGACAAAGGGAGTGAAATGAACAGGGCTAATCTAGAATTCAAAACCCAGCTTCATGGCACAGCCCCAGAGCTAATGAGCTGTGCAGAACTCTCTGAAATCCACAGAGCTACGTGGGTCGCGTCTGCGCTATGGCAGAGCAGCCTGCAGCATGTCTGGTGAAGTGCTACCGTGCCCAGGGGTAAGCACTCTCAGCGTTATCACTCCATGTCACGGGGAGAACCACCGGGCCCTGCACTCCCATCTGCAGCCAGATGTGACTAAGTATATTAGGCAACAGGGACACAGCGCAGAAGAGACTTGTCAGCACAGTAACCAGCAGCAGTCAGTCCAATCCGTCTTGGGGAAGGGGGCCCCAGAACGGTCCCTGGTCCTGTGCCCCAAGTCAGCACAGCCCCAGCCAGGCTTCCCTGGACCTTGTCCTGCTTCCCGAGCAAAAGTTGTCACCTGGTTGCACCCCCCCCCCATCCCAAGCTCAGGCTCTGAAGGGCATCGGCCATTGCATACATGCAGGAAGCTATCGCACCCGAAATTCTCATCACCATCTAGGCACTGGTGCAGTGCCCAGGGAAACTGAGGTACACACATGCGGTTCTTATAGGACAGTAGAACTCCCATGCAACAATACAGTGGGTAAAATTCCCAGTTCGTCACACTCCACCTCTGCACAAAACAAAGGCTACGTTGGGAGGAGAGCATCTCCCCCGACAGAAAACACACCAAGAGACCCAAAAAAGTGGCTTAACGACCAAGTAAAAGAAAGAGAGATATAAAGGCATTGTCTAAAAAGTGGAAGTTAAATCCTAGTGAGGAAAATGGAAAGGATAAACTCTGTCAAAGTGTAAAAATATAATTAGGAAGGCCAAAAGGGAATTTGAAGAACAGCTAATCAAAAATTCAAAAAGTAAATTTTAAGCACATGAGAAACAGAAAGCCTGTTAAAGAACCACTGGGGTCACTGGACAATTGAGATGCTAAAGGAGCACTCAAGGATGATAAGGTAATTGCAGAAATACTAAATGGATTCTTTGCATGGGTCCTCACAGCTGAGGATGTCAGGCAGATTCCTAAACCTGAGCCATTAGTTTTTAGGTGACAAAATCTGAAGAACTGTCCAAGATTAAGGTGCCATTAGAGGAGTTTCTGGAAAAAACTGTTTAAACAGTAACAAGTCACCAGGACTAGATAGCATTCACCCACGAGTTCTGAAGGAACTAAGATTTGAAAGTGCCAAACTACTGACTGGAAGATAGCAAATGTGACCCAATTTTCAAAAAGGGCTCTAGAGGTGATCCCTCTAATTTTAACTTCAGTATTGGGCAAATTGGTTGAAACTACAGTAAAGAGGAGAATTGTCAGACACATATGTTAACATAATTTGTTGGGGGAAAGTCAACATGGTTTCTGTAAAGGGAAATCATGCCTCACAATCTGCTAGAGTTCTTTGAGGGAGTAAGCAAGCATGTACAAGGGGTCTAGTGGATATAGTGTACTTAGATTTCCAGAAAGCCATTGACAACATCCCTCCCCAAACACTCTTAAGTAAAGTTGTCATGGGACAATAGGAAAGTCTTCTCATGGACTGATAACTGGTTAAAAGATAAGAAACAAAGGGTAGGAATAAAATGGTCAATTCTCAGAACAGAGGTCCATACTAGGACAAATTTTATTCAACCGTATTCACAAATAATCTGGAGAATGGGGTAAACAGTGAAGTGGAAAAATCTGTAGATGATACTAAGCTACTCAAAATAGACCAAAGCAGACTAAAGAGTTTCAAAAGGATCTCAAGAAACTAGGTGACTGGGTAACAAAATGGCAGCTGAATTTTAATTTAGAATCATAGAACTGGAAGAGACCTCAGAAGGTCGTCAAGTCCAGCCCCCTGCTCTAGGCAGGACCAATTCCAACTACATCAACCCGGCCAGGGCTTTGTCAAGCCGAGATTTAAACACCTCTAGGGATGGAGACTCCACTACTTCCCTAGGTAACCCATTCCAGTGCTTCACCACCCTCCTAGTGAAATACTTTTTCCTAATATCCAACCTGGACCTTTCCCACCACAACTTGAGAC